TAAGCTTTTATGTTAAGATTGACGTGCAGTGGTAAGAAAGAATACAGAGCCTCCCTCTACCCTTTACCCAGCTTCTTCCAATGGTCACATCTTGGAAAACAATAGAACAAGATAAGAATTAGGATATCGGCATTGACACAGCCAAGATGCAGAGCAGTCTGCTACCACGGGATTCCTCCTGTTGCCGTTATAGCCGTACCCCTCCTCTCCCCAGCGCATGCTTTGGAGAACACTGTGATGCCAGTGGTAAACAGTTTGGTGGGCATGAATGTTCATCTTTGCTAAGACCTTTAACACCCAGGATCTGAGCCAGTCCTGACAGATGAGCGCCAGGGCTTTTCGTGGTCCATTCCCATCTCTGCTGTGCTTTTCCCCCAGGGAGGTTATTCTGTATTTCTTTCCTGAGTACCAGCTACCATCAGAAATCGGCTACTCGTCCGTGGAGGAGTTCGTGGCGAGCTCGGAGGTAAGCCGGCTTTCGTGGAACTCAGGGAGTGATGAAGAGCCTGATTTCATCTTCGGTGAAGAAAGATGTAAAGTGTTGCCAGTGAGAGGAGCTAAGTGAATGAAGATGAGGATCTTTATGCTAAACGGGTGACTCGCAATTCAAAGCAGTGTGGCCAGGGGTGAAATAAGCTTCAGGAAGGTCTCACAGAGAGCAGCCAGTAGCAGAGACCAAAGGAAATGGGGCACAGTCCCTGACTTCCCTCCTTTGCACCAAACGTAGAGTTTCTGTCTCTCAGGTACACTCCCTCCGCCACCTTTTGCGAGGGGCTGAGGTGAGGATTGGGTGGGTCAGCCCCCGTGTCAGCTCAGAGCACTGGCCTTACTGGAATCACTGAGACGTCACACGGAAAGATGGAGGCAACTGTGCTTATCAAATCTATTCTCAGGGGCAGTACCACATGTGAAGGGACGGGAAACTTTGATCAGCTGCCCGGGGTGGACAGTGGATGTCCCCATGCTGCCAAGTCGCCGCAGGCCTGTGGCGCAAAGCTGCTCCCAGGCCTGGAGAAGGGCCTGCATGCTGGGGGGGGGGGCTCCTCCCACCC